GCCCAGGGTGGGGCCTGGGATTCTGCATTTCCCACACGTCACCCAGGTGATGCTGAGGCTGCTGGTCCAGGTCCATGCGAGCATGGAGACCCCAGGTGAGCTCCCCACCCACGTCCTCCTCCCCCTCCCCACCCCTCCCGGCTCGCTGCTCCATCCTGCCAGGCATCCCCCCACCGTGGACTTCCTCTCCCTCCACCTGGGCTCTGCATCCAGGTTTCCTCCAGTTCACTCCTCACTCCAGTCAGGTCTCTGCCCCAGTGTCGCTTCAGAGAGGCTTTCCCTGGCCACCCTACATAAACAGCTGCCCAACTACCCCCATCTCTCTGTCCCCAACCCACTCTCATCTCTGTCTCCCATCCATCTCCATCTCTCTCTGCCCAGCCGCATCCATCTCTCTGTCCCCCACCTACCCTCATCACTCTGTCCTCCTCCTCCATCACTCTGTCCCCCACCCACCTCCATCTCTCTCTGCCTCATCCTCATGTCTCTGTCCCCCACACTGCCTGCATTCTTCCTGGCACTCTTCCCGGCAATGTGGTAACGCCAGCCCCATGAGGGCAGAGACTTTGCTTTCCTCACTGCTGTCTCTCCATCTGCTAGAACAGGGCCTGGCACGCAGTCACTGCTCAATAAATATTTAGTGCATGAATAAGTGAATGAATGAATGAATGAATGGACACATTTGAAATCTTTCACTATCTTTGCTCCCGAGGCAGCTCAACTTCCTCCTTGGGAGACAGCAAGTTACTTGCAAAACACAAGGTAAAGGCAAAATTGCCACCAGATGGGGACAGCAGAGCATCAACCCTTGCTCCGATACACAGGTCAACAGGCCCACCAAGCCAACCCCACCCCTACCCTTGAGAAGCTCCCGTGCAGCATCTCCCGGGATTCAGAGAAACCCGGCAGTTACAGTGTGGTGTGATTGTGCTAGGAGAGAGGGAAATACTGGGGCCAAGAGCAAAAATCCCTGGGCTGGCCTTGGCTGGGGAGGTGGGCACCGGGGGCGGAGGGGGCAGCCGGGAAGAGCTTCCTGGAAAAAATACCGCATGAGCTAAAGAAAACCTTGCCAGATGAATACGGGTTTCCTTGGCCCAAGGAAAAAGCTCCTGGAGCGTGTGTTGGCGGGTGTGCAGTGGGGGAAGGAAACGAGGTGAAACGAGGGAGTCCTTGGCTGAGGCTAATCCAGAGGCCCTGCTCTGGGGCAGCCCAGGAACCAGCCACGGACGCCCGGCATCTCTGTCGGTGTGAACTGGGTCCCCAGCAAGCAGGCACCACGCCCCCGGGAAAATGAGAGCTGGCGTTTGCTGGGGTTTTATGAGTAGTTAGTCCTACCCTCCTTGTTACCCTCCCTTTACAAATGAGGAAGCTGGGGATGGGAGCACGCGAGTGCGGAGCTGGGATCTGAACCCGAGCTGCCCGGCTCCAAAAACCAGAATCATGGCCCTACCCCTCCGCTCTGACCCCTCCCGCCTTACCTCCCACCCTGTGGTCCCTGCAGGGAGAGACTCCACGAGTGAGTGAGCGGTTGACCAACTGAAGGCACCCTCTACTCCTCCAGCTTCGGCTTTCTTCCCCGTTAGGTATCTGTGGAGCTGACAAGAGCCGCTGGCCCAGAAGAGCTATGGGTCAGGGCTCAGGGTCGTGACTAACCCTAAACTCAGTTCAAGGAGGGAGGACCTCGCGCAGTGGTGGAAGAGGCGAGGAAGGCTTCGCGCAGGAGCTGGGATGATGAGGGGCCACGGAGAGGCAGCGCCGGGAGGGTCTGGGACCCTGACCTGTGTGCACACACCTGGACCCCCAGCCTAGGATGCTGCTTCAGGACATCTAGGCTGGGAGTCCAGGAATCTGCGTTTTGACAAGCTCCCCAGGTGATCCTGTGCATTCTAGAAGACATCCGTGGATAAAGGAGACAGAGCCGAGCATTTGACCAGGGTTCAAAGCCCACCTCCATCTCTTAGCTATGTGATCTTAAGTGATTTTCTTAACTCCCTAAGCCTCAGATAAGTAGAAGGCGAGGCTTGAGACCTGTTTGTTTTCCCAGCTCTCTGCTGAGATGGTGATAAGGAAAGTTCCTGGTGAAAGGACTACACAAGAGCATTCGTGTGTTTGGCACTAGGGATGCCACAGGCGGCATAAATTAGGAATGTGGGATTAACAGATACACGCTATTGTATATAAAATAGATAAACAACAAGGACCTACTACACAGCACAGGGAAGTATACTCAATATCTTGTAATAACCTATAATGGGAAGAATCTGAAAAAGAATATATATACATATATATATATATATAAAACTTAATCACTTTGCTGTATACCTGAAACATTGTAAATCAACTATGCTTCAATTAAAAATAAAAATAATTTTAAAAAGATGGGACCAGCCCTGGAGGCGTGGGGGCCGTTAAAGCCTGGTGGCCCGTCCGGGGCCAGCAAGCTCCCTTGCAGGTCACAGGGCTGGCTCTCCTGGGGGCCCACCTCTAACTCGGGGGCCCCTGGACCTGGGCTGGAAGGCAGCTCCAGCCTGCCCTGCTGGGTCGTCGCACCTCCCCGGCCCGCCCCACACCGGGAGAGCTGAGTCATGGAAAAAGTTAGCTCCCTAGGCTGCAGCTCACCTCCCTCTCCATCAAGCCCACAAAGGCTCCATTCACGTTTCCAGGAGAGGGGAGAAAACCGTGGGGCCCTCTCCCCAGGCTGGGATGTGAAATTTCAAACTTCACTGGAGTTAAATTCCCCACCCCCTGCTCCCACCTAAGGGAGGAGGGGGTACCAAGAGCAAAAAATACAGCTAGGGGGAGGAGGGGGAGGGAAAGTGTCCCATGCAGTTCTCACTGAAGCCAAGTGACAGGGACCCTCTGGGCCAACACGTTGGACTGTGCATCCCCCAGCCCAGTGCCCCCTGGCCCTCATATTCCCGGGGTGGGGGAATCTTGGGGGACACAGGAGGTGACAGACGGCGCCTCTCTGGGCAACTGATGATGGAAGAGGCCTGAGGCTCACGGGATGCCAGGCCCACAAAACCCACATACTGATGGTGAAACGTGTAGGAAAAAGGTGTCTGCCTCCCAGCCAGCAGCCCAACACCAAACCTTTTTCTTGTGATTTCACCCCAAACCTGATGTTTGGAAGAGGTAAGGGTGGCGCCCTGAGTGGCCTGGGTTTCGTCCTGTGTTACATGGGCACAGTGACGCCCACCCCCTCGGGCTGCTCTGGACATTCAATGAGAATATGCGTAAAGGGCCTGATATGCTGACGGTCCCTCTGGGTTCTCGCCCCCCTTCCCACTCCGTCTCACACCCAGGGCAAATGTCAGTGGGGCCTGGTGGCCGGTCACCCAGCGGGTCTGGCATCTGAACAGGATGGGTTAGCTGGTGGGAATCGGGGACACGCTGTTGCGTTTGAGTTGCTTCACATCTCTGTGCCTCAGTTTCCTCCTCCACAAAGCAGCAGGTGTGTGGGGAAGTGGAGCTATGATCTTTGCAAGCCCTTTCAGGCTGGGAGCGTTACCCTTAGGTGGAGAGAAACTGGAAGTGAAAGGAGAGATAGCAGGGTGGCAGGAACACGGGAGGCTCGGCAGCTGGAAGGCGCAGTGCCGCATCCCGACCCCTAGGTGGCGTCGAGGATAACAGATGAGAACAGGCGAAGCGCAGGGGTTCCAGCTCCAGACTTTCCCAGTTGTTTTCTTGGCAGGCCTGGCAGACACCAGCCACCGCTGGGTGGGAAGAGCCTGTCTCTCCAGGGTCGGGATTTTTTCCCTATTTTTACAGATCTCCAAGGTGGGAGGAGGCCGACACTTTGACGGAGGCCTGCCTTTAGCCGTGGCCTGGGAGTCAGATCAAGGCAATGGCCTGCCCTTCAATCACACTTTTGGAGGTTTGGATGGAGGCAGAGGGAGCCTGGTCCTCCACCGCTCTCCTCCCCTCCTTCCCGGGTGGGGTGGGGCGGGAAGAGGAACCACGTCTGGATTTGGATCCCTCCCTCCCGCACTTCCTGGCAGGGTAACCTGGCAGATGCGGATAATAATACCGCCACTGAAGGTCAGTGGGAGGATTAAATTTCAGAATCTACGCCCTCAGTGTAGGACAGTCTTATCCAGTCCCACTCTTCCAAACCCTTCTTGCTCTTCCGGAGACCCAGATAATGATCTTCCCAATTCACACGGAAGGAAAACCTCACCTGTAAAACTTCTCCCCAGAACTAGAGGGTTTCTGCAGCCCAGGGAGGAGGTAAACCCCAGCCACCCCTCCCCAAATCAGCATTCCTCAAAGCGACTTTCTCACCCAGTCCTCAGCAGAGCCACCAGGCGGGGCATTCAACGACCTGATTCCAGCACAGCCAGCCCTGCTGAATCAGAATGTCTGGGGCTAAGGCCCAGCACTCCTCGTCTGAACAAGCCTCTCCCTGGAGAACCGCTGTCCCAGATTACAGGGCAGCTCCCTGGCTCACCCTCTCTCCTCCTGGCCTGGGACCATCGGGGGCAGCAGGAGGCAAGCCCCATCAGCACTTTTAACTGAAGCTGCTTTTTAGTGACTCACCTCACAGACTTCCTGCAACAGGCAACTGTAACCAGCTGGGTCCCACCCACCAGCAGGGAAGACATTCTTGCTGGGGGAAACGGGAGGTTACAAGGTGGGTGCCCCACTCAAGCAGTCCAGGGAGACCCAAAGAGAAGTCGCTGCCAGCACAAGACAGGGGGCACTGGTTTGATATGTTTTGTTTACAGGCGTTTGTTATTAAGGAAATTGCTGTCAGTCAAGGTAATCCCAGCCCAGATGAGCAATAAATATGCTCCCAGCTAATCTTACAGGGATTTTATCGGCACCTTGGGGGCAGAGGTTCCCTTATGCTGCCCACCCCCGCCCCTCAAAGCAACCCCCCTCCCCCCAGGCTGTTCCCCGCAAGCAACGTGACGGACTCGGGGCAGACTTAGAAAGTGCACTCTAAGTGAAGACAGGAGGCGCCTGGGGAAAGGTCGAAAGTGGCTTCCTGGTCCTACCTGGAGGCAGGGGGTGACCAAATGACCCGAAATAAACCCTGGGTGACCTGGATGGATCAAGGCAGGCGCGAGCTTCCCCCGGGCCTGCCCGGCACGCAGGGGCGATCACCTGGCCCGCAGGAGCCCCTGTTCGGGGAGACAGCGTCCCGGGCAAGGAGAAACATCTCGAGGACGGAGACGGTTCGCAGGAGTCGGTTCCAGCGTGTGCGAGTTGCGGCGGCGAGCCCTCAGGGACGCCGCCGGCAAGCCCCAGCTTGCAGAGAGGGGAGCCGGCCCCGGGAGAGCGCGAGTCGGAGCGAGCCCGTGTGCGCGCCCGCGCGCGCGCCCCGCGACTGCGCAGGGGGAGGGGAGCCCGCGGCAGCCACTCAGAGGAACGGTAGTGAAGCTTCGGAACAACTTTAACTGTCAATCAGACTTAATGGGGTATTAAAAAAAATGGGGGGGGAAGAGCCGCCTTCTCGCTCCGCTCCGCTCCGCGGCTGCCCCGGGAGCAAATGGATAAGGCGGCGCAGACGAGGGCGTCCGATCCACTCGCGCTCCGCACCAGGGCCCTCTCCAAGTTGGAAAGGACAAAAAGAAGGCAATAAATGCTAACAAGGGAGAGAGAGGGAGCCGGATCGAGCGGCAACTCCCAGCCTCCGTTGGAGGAGAGAGGGAGGGAGGGAGCCGGAGAGAGCGAGCGCGCGCGAGGGCGAGCCATGCACGTAAAGAAACTGACACCCGGACCCCCCACTTCTCCTGCACGTTGCTGGCAATCAGATCGCGTTTAAGCAATTTCCTGAGCCCAAGAATAGCAATGAGTCGGGAGACTTTCGCGGGCTGAAATTGGGAGCTCCAAGCACTCCTCCCCCCACTTTTTTTTTTTCCGGAGAAGGGGTTGGGGGGGGCGCTACAATTTGGAAACGGCTTTTTTTTTTTAATCTTGCACTTTGAAACCGCGGGGCTGTAGCAGGGTGCGCGCGTGTGGTTGGTGCATTTTTTTTTCTTCCCCTGCCTAAACTCCTCTGTCAGCCTGTAAACATTACCTGAGAATTCCCCAGCCGAAACGGCTGCTGGGGCAAGAAAGTTCTTGTCAGAACTTTCCACCTCCGGCTTCCCCTCCACCCCTCTTACTGTCCCAAGCTTCTGAGACGCTTTTTCTCCTTCCGAGGATTTATCTTTTTTCCCCCCCTTTTTCTCACCCGGTGCTTGCTTTGCATTTGGGAAGAGGTGATTTCAAGAGTGGCCAGGTGGGACGCCTCTCTCCCCCTTGTTCGGTGTATTTATTATTGTTTGGGAGTGTTTTCTTTTTTAAGCCCTATTTTGTTCGGTCCGGGGAGTTTCATCCCCCGCTGCCCAGCTCCGCGGCGCGGAGGATGGTGTGGAAACGGCTGGGCGCGTTGGTGGTGTTCCCTCTGCAGATGATCTATCTGGTGGTGAAAGCAGCCGTCGGACTGGTGCTGCCCGCCAAGCTGCGGGACCTGTCGCGGGAGAACGTCCTCATCACCGGCGGCGGGAGAGGCATCGGGCGCCAGCTCGCTCGCGAGTTCGCAGAACGCGGCGCCAGAAAGGTACTGGGACGTCTCGACTCCAGAGGGTGGAGGCTGAGGGCGAGGGGCGCCGAGAGGATTGGGGGTTCGCCCACCTGCTGCCGCTGCGGGAACCCGCGCCCAGGGTCTGAAAGTCGCCGGCTACCCTACTTTTCTGCGCCACCCGCGAGTGCTGAGCTAGTCAGTTTCACCTTGTGCATTTCCCGGGCACCGGGCTGTCTACTTTGGCAGGTCCGGAGCTCACCCAATCCTTTGGGATCTGTGGCTGGCTGTTCACCCCCACCTTGAAACTTAGCTGACCTATCCATTTCTTACATTCCTCCCTCCCAAAGGAAGGTGTTATGTTTTCCCCCTCGCCTTTCCCTCTTTTGCCACCACCCTGGTGAGTGCAGGGTGTGTGCGCTCCTGGGTAGAGCTGGGAGCCGCCTGCTAGCTGGCACTTCGTATTTTCCTTGGCAACCCGCTTCCCAGTCCCAACCTGGGCGGCTGCAGCTCTGGAGGCTGGAGGAGAGCAGAAACTTGGTTTGGGTTTGAAACCGGGGAAGCCGGCTTGGATGGTCTAGCCTAAAGCTGATAGGCACTGGGAGGCCCAGGTGTTTGGAAATCTGGAAAGAAGGGATAAGGGTAACCAGCAGCTGATAAAGAGCCCTTGTTCTCATTTCAATGCTGCCTGCGCCCCCTCACCCAAATATAGCCCCAGAGGGGATCCCTCCTGATCAAGGGGGGGAGGTGGCACTGTTATGAGCCCCCCCCCCACCATACACCTAAGCGCTG